TGACCCAAATTGGTGAATATGTACAAGAATTGTTAGGAAGGTCGCGTATCGCTATCATTACTTGGTCACCTCAATGCCGTTTTCGTGGTGGGTTGCTGGACTTACGGGTACTTAGCAATGACGCAGTGAACTAAATAGCCGATGAGATGGTTAGACAAGGTTTGGAAATGCAGATCAAAAAGGCGGATAAGTGATCTATGGACCAGCGAGACGGCTGTCAAGTTTCAAGGTTAATATGGTCGAGGAGTAACAAGAAAGCTACTGAGGAACGTTCTCCAGACAAGGCGATTCAAGCTTTGGGATTTTGCCTTTTCACCAGCTTTGTAGAGATAACAACTGCAACTCTCGGGTATTTCACATTATTTATGCATACATATTTATGACCGCTCCTAAAGTGCTATAATTTTTACTTGTATTTTTTAAAAACACATCATTCTTCTTATAAATAAATTTACAACCGAGTTTATCTTTGATGCAAGCTCATAAATAGTAACTGTGTAGTAATTTTGATGGCTGCTATTCATATATGTACGTATATATATATATTCATACATACATACATACACATATGTATGTACATTAGACTGCATCACCAAAAAAAGTTGTGGTTTTTCCACCGGGATTACAAAATTTATTATATTTTAAGACGTCCACCAAAATATTTCGGAAAAATATTAAGATTTAAGCGAGCTGGACCGATTTGAAAATACCTCCAATAATGAAGTTTTTTATGAATAAAAATAGTTTCTTAAAGAACTTTTTGAAAAAAGTCCCCTCAGATCACAAATTAGATTAAGCTTAAAAAATCTGCATAAAAATATTTAAAAATCTTTTCAACGGAATCGTAAGAAAGAGATTTTTGATGCTGTTTTTTTACTTTTTTCAAAGATTGGTTTACGAAAAACTTGAATAACTGGGCCAAAAATGTTTTGATGTAGACTTATGGGATCTCAGTAGAAAGGTATTTTCACACTGTTTTTATTTCTGGCCAAAAAAACGTCATTCGTGTCCCATCTTGCATCATAAAAAGGGTGAGAAAATACCTTTCCAATGACACCTCTTAAGTCTAAATCGGAAGAGTTTAGGTTCAGTTATTCAAGTTTTTTCTATACCAATCTTTGAAAAAAGTTAAAAAACAGCATCAAAAATCTCATCATTACGATTCCGTTCAAAATTTTTTTAAATTTTTTTTTTAATATTTTTATGCAAATATTTTAAGCTTAAACCGTTTTATCATTTGAGGGGATTTTTTCAAAAAAAAATTTAAGAAACTATTTTTATTCTATTCTTGGAGGTATTTTTGGAGGTATTTTCAAATCGGTCCAGCTCACTTAAATCTTAATATTTTTCCGAAATATTTTGGTGGTCGTCTTAGAATATAATAGATTTTATAATCCCAATGGAAAAATAGTACCGATTTTTTTTTTGTATGGGGAGTGATGCAGTCTAATGTACATAAATGCACATTCGAAGTGCATATGTAAATACGAAACCAAATAAAATCTTGCTGTAAAGGTGTAATAGCTGCAATTTCCTATTTATTTAAACAACGATTAGATAATAAACTGGATCTGTATTAGAACGGGTCAATTTTTACTTATACAAAACAATTAAATAAATACCTCCTCTAGTTTGAAAACTTTCTACCCTGTAGAGAGCTAATGGATTAAAATGTTCTACAAAATTATTCCGCGTTAACTTATACATATATGCCCATAAACTACATAAATATTTCGTACAGACAAGAGACTTAATCCTTTCTCCACTTATTCTAAAAATACTCAAACAAAAAATTGCAAACTTAATACGGCCAAAAATTTTGATCTGAGAATGGAAAAAGATTTGGAGGTTTCACTATAAGGGTTTTGGACTCTTATCCTGAGTTGAAATCATTCCACTCCCAGACAACGACCCTGCAATTGTTGCACAGAGTAATGTATGCCGACGTCTGCACCTCTTCATGACAAAGACGGCAATCCGCCTATGTGGATGCGCCAATTCGGTGAATGTGAGAGCTCAGGTGATTATAACCGGCTAAGCAACCAATAAGCAACTTGATGTTAGCTCTATTTAAAGGATTTATGTATATCCTTCCTACCAAAAGAATAAGCCAAAAGTCTCTCCCCAAATACTTACTGCGTTCTGAGTTTACCCACATTTGGGTTATCAGTCTCGAGGAGGATCAACTGAGTCCATAAAAGGATTCCGGTCCCACAAGTACAGAGGATGAGCCTTCCCTAGCCAGTTAGTCGGCGGCATCGTTACCTATGAATCCGCATTGTCCAGGTGCCCAGCATATTAATAGCCATAAATATTAAAAATACTTGCAAAATAATAGCTTTGTTCCAAACGCTTTCCGGGCTGTTTCGGTAATTAGAACGTAAAAGTAAGTTACTCTCTCACAAGTGTCAAAAATGTGTCAACACGTGCCAAAACTGCCCAGAATCACAAATGCAAAATAATTTTACAAAATAATTTAAATATTAGGTTTGTTCCACACCTAATTAAAACAACAGATATGTAAAATAATAGCTTAAGAAAATCCCGCCTATCAAAGCAATGCCTTCAAAGAAACCCCGTTTTTTCGCTCTCCTGTAAAATTTGAGTGTCGTAAGATACGCGATTTTGCAATTGGTCGATGGGCGGTTTTGCAAAAACATCGACGATATACATATATTTCCGAAAATACAAATACATTTGAAAATACTTTTGAAATCATATATACATATATATCGTCACCTGCCTGAAAGGCTGTAAGTAACAAAAAATTCTAAAATTAACTTTTTGACTGATTATGATGCATTTAATCAAACGGGCAGTGTTTCTATTGACTCACATTTTTGCCTCCACGTTGCCCTCTTTGAGCATAGCAAAATAATTTTTATTTTATTTTAGGTCATCTAAACGCTTAAAAGGCTCGCATCCACGTAACCCTCGTAAGCTTACTTAGTTTTGTACGGAAACCCGGTTTATTTACGAGGTTTACACAGTTACGATGCATTTACGCATTCAGATGAATACCCTGTTTGTTATTTTCTGATCACGATCATGGTGAAATTGAAAAAAATACCTAAATAAATTTCATGTATAGCTCAATTAACGCTGTGCAATTTTAATGGCCGCAAGTGTCTATTTTATTTTCACATTGAAATCAGTTGCTGTGAAATATGAACCGATTTCCGTTTATTATGACAAACATCTGCATTTCCGCTTCCTATCTATTCTTTTTTGTGACTTTCATCATACACTCTTTTACGGAAACATTCATAATAAAACAAATAAACAGCTGCTCAATTTGACACAAGCCAGCGAAAGTGACACGCAAACAAATTCCATATCTAATCTGGATATCAACTCGAATTAAAATAGCAATTAAAAGTAATTGAATATGTCTGGCATCGAAAAATTGCAGGCGAAAATCGCCGAACTAAAACTAAAAGCTGAATTAGAGCACCAAAGAAATGCTTCAAAAGCTGCACGAGAGCGCATCGAAAAAATGTCCGCGGAAGTGGTTGATTCCAATCCCTATAGTCGCCTTATGGCACTTCAGCGTATGGGGATCGTTAAGGAATATGAGCGTATACGTGAGAAAACCGTTGCTGTAGTGGGCGTTGGTGGCGTAGGAAGCGTTACGGCAGATATGTTGACAAGGTCAGTGTGTTTTCTATTGCCTGCATCCATGCATGTTTTTTGAAATGTTTCTATATACCAGATGTGGCATCGGAAAACTTATACTCTTCGACTACGACAAAGTAGAGTTGGCCAACATGAATCGGTTATTTTTCACCCCCGACCAGGCTGGCCTATCTAAGGTGGAGGCTGCAGCGCGTACTCTAACCTTCATTAATCCCGATGTACGCATTGAGACGCACAACTATAACATAACTACTGTGGAGTCGTTCGATAAATTCCTAAATACAATATCTCATGGTGGCCTTCAGCCAAAAACGCCAGTTGATCTTGTCTTAAGCTGCGTTGATAACTTTGAAGCTCGTATGGCAATCAATACTGCATGTAATGAGTTGGGTCTAAATTGGTTCGAATCTGGCGTTTCCGAGAATGCGGTATCAGGACACATACAATTCATACGCCCAGGTGAAACTGCATGTTTTGGTTGCGCTCCCCCCTTAGTGGTGGCGGAAAATATTGACGAGAAAACGTTGAAACGTGAAGGAGTATGTGCCGCTTCACTGCCCACTACAATGGGTATAACAGCGGGCTTGTTAGTGCAAAATACACTCAAGTATTTGCTCAATTTCGGTGAAGTATCGGACTATTTGGGTTATAATGCAATGAATGATTTCTTTCCTCGCATGAGTCTGAAACCAAATACTCAATGTGATGACCGACACTGCCAGGAACGTCAAAAGGAATACCAGGCACGCCCTAAAGCTGCTGTGGAAGAGAGTGTTGTAGTAGATGATGCGCCACTGCACGAAACAAATGAATGGGGCATTGAATTGGTGGATGATTCGCTAGCTGCCGGAGGTGCAACCTCAGTAATGGCTGGTAGTGATGTTGCTGCGGGCTTGCGCCTAGCATATGATGCACCTGATAATATAGCGACAGATGAACCAACAGTTGCCGCAACTTCTAATGTGGATTTAGATGAATTGTTTGCGCAAATGAAGGCATTATAAGGATAAGTGATAAAAATCGAGAAACTAAGTTATTCCATCAATTAAGACTCTAAACCGCATTATTTAATTTTATACAAACGTGTACTACAAATAAGCAAGCAAGATATTCAGAATATAATGATAGCTTACCCCTAAGCATTTGTTTTCGTTCAAATATTTTAGTTTTTTCATCTACATGATATGTATACATATATACTTTATAGTTAATTCATTTCTATGATGAAGGCAAGTCATCGTAATTTCCGCTGGAAATGTATATCAAAATTAAACCACTTCCTTGTTTTTATGATTCTCCACATTCCGACTACAATTCAAAATACGACCCTAATCGCGTGTACTTAATAAACACAGCTTTTCACCTTAGCAATCACTGAACACACCACGTTGAGATCTGTCAAGCGGCAAATTTTTGTTGTCGTGTCCTCAATTATACGCTGTGCCACACAAATTTTTGCATTTTTCGAGTTGTTGAGTTATTAAACTTTCAAATGACCAATAAAAAGGAAGAAAAGCCACTGCCTGAAATTGAGGTGAGTCGAAAGTATTTTATGGCATGTTTCTACCTCCATGGAGACTCGTACAGATCTTATTTTTTTGTACACGTCAACTCGCAGGCGCCGCAAATAACATATGTACATACATATAACTGCGCTAAACTTGATCTAAATTAATTTTACAGGTTGTAAAAATAAACAAATGGGATGGTTCAGCTGTAAAACATGCACTAGATGATGCAGTAAAGAATTGCCTTTTATGCGATCGACCGCAGCTGAAAGAACAATTTGGTTTGATCAATACGCGTCTGGTGCTATGCGCACTGGCCGTGGGTGTTGCTGTGTTGGCTCATGGCTGGGACTACACGCATCCCTTTCCCGAGTCGCGACCAGTATTGCTATTTAGCGTCATCGCCTATTTCTTGCTAATGGGCATACTCACTTTACACACAACATTCCGCGAGAAGGGCACGTTTGTTGTTGCAGTACAAAAGAACGGCAATAATGGACCACGCACTTGGGAAGCAAGCTCCGACATGAAGAAATACGATGACAAATATTCGTTATTTTTCTCCGTTAAAGATGCCAAGGGTGAACGGGAAGTAAGCAGTACCAAATCGTGTGCCAACTTCATTGATGCCAACGGTGTAGTATTGGACTATTTGGTGGCCAACGAAGTCAACCGTTTGTTCAATTCATTATCAGCTGGGAAAAAGGATGAGTAGCTCGTTTGAGAATGGTAAATATGGCATACCAGTACATTTATCTAAATTATAGTACACACAGTGACAGCATATGTGAGAATGATGGAGAAGAGACGAAAATAAAAGGAAACGGTATGGAGGTCGTTGATTTAGATCTGCAGCCATTGTGTGTGTAAAACCGCTTTGCGAAAAATATTTACATTTAAGTAATTGAATTTTTTCCATATATTGTAAGACTTCAATAATATGCATTTCGTTCAATAATAATATGTCTGAAACTACAATATATTGCCTTCTTTGGGTTTTTCGGAGCAACAATAGCATAATATTTTATTCCATGTTTCGTAAAACGTCCCCATAAACATACCGACTACTAAGTGGAAGATCGACCCATCTCGGCAGTCAGTTCGAAAACGCCCTATTTTAAAAAAGATTTTAAGAATTCGTTTTAAAAACTCCCTATCTCAGCTGCCGATTCAAAAACGCCCTAGATCGGCACACTTTCAATACATTTTGAAGTGAGATAGGGCATTTTTGAACCGAATTCTGAAATATCGGGCTCTTCAACCAAATTCTGAGATAGTGTTTTTCAATAAAATTCCGAAATAGGGCGTTCTTGAAAAGTTTTTTGAGATAGGGCGTTTTCGAACTGGCTGCCGAGATAGGTCGATCTTTCTTCCACTCAGCAGTCGATACAGACAAATTTTTTCATTTACTTTATACAAGTACAAGCAAAAAAAAAAAAATAAAAATTATGAAATAAAACGATCACCCTTTTTTAACATAATCCTTGAAATTAAAATAATTCAAAAGGTGCACCAAACTACTTTAGCAAAACTTATTAAAAATGTTCTTCTGTCTCACAAAATACCCAGCTATAAATCAGTCAATAATACATATTTTTTCAAAGCAAATTCAGGCACGCAACGTTTTCAATATAAAATTTTGCAAAATATAAGATGTAAACTAAAATTCGTATAAGATCTCTAATCGAAAAAATCCAAAAAATTACCATTTCCATTTCCGCAGTCGCATTTCCTCATACCTGGATTTGCACCGCTTTGTTAGATGTAAGCAAAAGGAATTCACCCAAGGCACGGTTGGTGAGTAGGTACAACAAATTTTCTCATCCAATAATTTACCATGCGCAGTTGATTTACGGCATGGTAAGCTTTTAACTGCAGTGGGTATTTTTCGTCGTCGGATGCCACCGCGTGAGGTCGATTAGCTAATGACAAATGTACGCAACAAGAACCTAAGCATTTTCGTGGAATAGATTCCCATCAATATTAAGACAGCTATTTGCGACATACCACCACACGGACTTAAAATGTCAGCGATTTATAAGCTCTTGCAGCGAATTTTAGATGGCAGAGGTATTATGTTGAGGCGTAAAGCACATTTGCACTGGCACACAGGCAAAGGCATGGAAGGTCAAGAGTCCATAGATGCCCAACGGGATTTACAAGATTTGCTCGATTTATATAAGCAGAGTGGTGAGGATACCGCGAACGAAGAAGTTGCAGCTGAAGGTCATTCCTGCGCGCCATGTAATCAAACGGCCGACAACTTAATTAATGAAAAAAAACACTAGTTTTTAAAAGCTGCAGTTTATTTTTGAGTATACAAAAGTAAAGCAACAATTTACGATATTCTAATTTGTTCCCTCATAGTCCATTTATGGTGACAACTTAACGGCAAAAGTTAATATCGTAAAGTTGTGTTCCTTAAAATGGATTTCCAACAACTCTAGTCATAGTTGCCAGTTTTAAGTGCCATTGGGGGAAAATGGCATATGTTTGCAAATAAATTCAAATCTGAAAGTAAATATATGTAAGAAAAATTAATTTTTCGTGAATAAAGTCGGTAATGAAGCGCCGATTATGATTCCATCTGAATCACAGTTACAAGAATTAAAGGAACTCTATGGCGCTTGGGTGTAGTGGAATGTATGCAGCTGAGCAGCAGGAACACTTTTCAGCAAATGTAGAAAGTTCAAATGTAGTACTACCAACGTAAGCTTAGAAGGAAAGGTTTCGTTTGGTTACGTGCATGCGTGTTTATCGAACTTTATACACTTGCGTGCATAAGTACATATGTATGTATATACTTACCTTGTTTGAATATTTTATATACTGCAAGCAAGCGCATGGAGCACAAAAATATCGCAGTGCTTAGCTTCTCGAGAAAAGATTTTACCAAACACCGGTCATGAATGCTACTAGCACCGGATGCATTTACATTTTTTTTAATTTGATCGTTTACGTCTTTTTGCTGCCACTTTTAATGTTCCATTTTGTTCACCAACATCAGCTTCATTGCTGCCGCATGCCGTGTCCTCAGCCAATTTAAGATTCAAAGCGCGACTCGCCGCTTCAGCCAAGTCATCAATTGGTGGAAACTTTTGCGCACGTGGTGTACGATTTAGACCTGACCACAACTCTAGGCGCTCTTCGGTAGGATTTGTAGCAATGGCTATTTCAAAAGAACCACGACGCGGCGGGCGTTCGTTATTCATGAGCAATTGTAGTTCTATGTCGGGCTTTAAATTGCGCAAACGTCCTAGAAGATCGGCGTGTACTTGAAGGGCACGGCGGCGAAATACATTTCAGGAGCGGCAGTGTTCAATATATAATACTGGAAGATTGGCGTCCATAACGGGATCTTCAGACTTCGAAAGTTTAGGTTTAGTGGCAGAACTTTTATCTGCAGACTGTTAATAAAAATATATACGTACAGGTATATATATGTTTGTATATGTATATGTATGTAAATAAAATGAAATATTAAAATTTTTCCGGGTTTTCTAAACGAAATGGTTTTTAGTTTATGTATTACGGAACAATTTCAAATATTATTTAATATGCGTCTCATGCTAGCCCATGAAGTATTCCTAAATGTATTAATACAAATGTTCCATATCTTATATTTATAAAGCGTAGATGAAGGCGTCCAATTTGCTCCCACGGTAGTTGGGGGAAACTCTAGGGTAAATTTTGTGCTATTACAACACTCCGGTTAACTACAACGACTAAGAATAAGTTGAACTTTCCCGACCATGTGTCGTTAAGCAAAAGGATTGATCGGTTTGCATTAAAACGTTTACGAATACCATCAAAAAATTATTTTAAACTTATATTATATTATGTCGCTGGCTGATTGGAAAATCGCCCTATCTCAGCAAATGGTTGCAGCCAAATTCTAAGGCGCTCTTGATCGTGTTTGTTGTTGTAACAGCATTCAAATTGCCCCCAAAGAGTCCTTGACCAGATCAAAATCTGGGTCGCTCCGTTTGCATACGTAGACCCGACTGTCGTGGGAACCGGCTGTCGATATAGTCATTTTCCACTCAGCCG